TGGTTGCAGGTCAAAAGAAGTGAGTTTCTGTCCAGTGACCCATGGGAGCAAGTGAGAGCTTATTTCCATTTGGCATTTGTACGGAGCTGTCATTGGCTTCCTAGAGGCACACATTGCTTTAGTGTGCTAGGTGTGGTGATGCACACCTGTATTTCCAGCACTTGGGGGTCTTGGGTAGGAGGATTATGAGGCCTAATCCTACCTGAGCTCCCTGTGGAATTCCGGCCTACCTGGGCTATGTAGCCAGACCTCATCTCAACCAACCAACCAAATGGAGAAAGAGAAATGAAAATTAAAACAAGAAAATTCTAGGGAGTCACTGTTGACCTAGGAGGAACAGCATGTGCTGTGCTGACTTGAATGATCGCCAGGCAGGTGTCCATGCTGGTGAGCAGAGGGGGCCTGAGTCTCGCACACACTGTCTCTTTGCAGATGAGGTGCGCACGGGCACATACAGGCAACTCTTCCACCCAGAGCAACTGATCACTGGGAAGGAAGATGCTGCCAATAACTATGCCAGAGGCCATTATACCATTGGCAAGGAGATCGTCGACCTGGTCTTGGACCGGATCCGCAAGCTGGTAAGAACAGCACGCAGAAGGCTGCGTGTGGATGTGGTCCTGGTGGAGAGGCCCCACGCCTTGGGTGGTGGATGGGTCGTTATGGCCAGTCTCAGAGTCTGGAATCAGAAGTCCAGCTGAGTCTGCACAGGTCTTGGTGTCCAGTGTGTGGGTCCTCAGTGTGCCATTCCTGATGTCCAGTGCGGAGGGAAGGGGGGAGGGAGCCTGGCTGGTTGTGCAGGTGCTGGCTCCTGTCATGTGTGCTGTGGTTCTCCTCACAGGCGGATCTGTGCACAGGCCTGCAGGGCTTCCTCATCTTCCACAGCTTTGGGGGCGGCACCGGCTCTGGGTTTGCATCTCTGCTCATGGAGCGGCTCTCGGTGGACTATGGCAAGAAGTCCAAGCTGGAGTTTGCCATCTACCCAGCCCCCCAGGTTTCCACAGCTGTGGTGGAGCCCTACAACTCCATCCTGACTACCCACACGACCCTGGAACATTCCGACTGTGCCTTCATGGTGGATAACGAAGCCATCTACGACATTTGTCGGCGCAACCTGGACATTGAGCGTCCCACTTACACCAACCTCAATCGTCTGATTGGGCAGATCGTGTCCTCCATCACAGCCTCCCTGAGGTTTGATGGGGCCCTGAACGTGGACTTGACAGAGTTCCAGACCAACCTGGTGCCGTACCCCCGCATCCACTTCCCCCTGGCCACCTATGCTCCGGTCATCTCGGCCGAGAAGGCCTACCACGAGCAGCTGTCGGTAGCTGAGATCACCAACGCCTGCTTTGAGCCGGCCAATCAGATGGTCAAGTGTGACCCTCGGCATGGCAAGTACATGGCCTGCTGTATGTTGTACCGGGGGGATGTGGTCCCCAAAGACGTCAACGCGGCCATTGCCACCATCAAGACCAAGCGTACCATCCAGTTTGTGGACTGGTGCCCAACTGGATTTAAGGTAGGACTGGGGGATGTGAAGTCCCCATGTCTGTCAGTAAGCAGCAGACCTTACAAAGATATCTTGACAGTGATTATCTCTAACTGTACTGATTATCTATACCTTTGACAGATATAAAGTTTAACAGTAAAATGTAAAACACTAAGCAGATTTCACCAACCTGGAAATCTTACATGGGACTGACTGCAGCCCTTAAGAATTCTTAAGTAGAAGGTGATACCTTCTACTCTGTGTCTAATTACGAAATGTTTGGCCTTGAATAGGGTTTTTCTTTCAGCCAGAGGCATTTGCAAGTCGATATCCAAGGCAGCCTTACTTGAGGGCACAGGGAAATGCTACGCCTTATCTGGTTTCCTTTTCTAGATTAGTCTCTAGTTCTGTGTGCCTATAGGAAGGATGGTGTATGGGGAAGTATAAGTCATAAGCCTTTCATGTTCAAATAAAAGTCTGTAGCAGCTGGGCACTGGTGGCTCATGCCTATAACCCTAACTACTCAGGAGGCTGAGATCTAAGGATCAGGGTTCAAAGCCAGCCTGGACAGAAAAGTCCTCTTAAGATTCTTAGCTCCAATTAACTATTCAAAAACCAAAAGTGGCTCAAGTGGTAGAGTGCTATCCTTGATCATAAAGAGGCTTAGGGACAGTGCCTAGGCCCTGAGTTCAAGCCTCCATCCAGCCCCAGATGAACCCTGTTACGTTTTCTTTAAGTTCATTTTTATTGATCTCAGTGTAGTTTATTACATATTCTTTCACAAACGATTTAGTCCTTCCCACGTTTAAAAAAAATTTTTAAGCTGAGTTTGGATGGGAGGATACTTGTAATCTCAGGTGGCTTTTGGAGGCTGAAGCAGACGACAGCCAATTTTGAGGCCAGTCTGAGCAACAGTGAGAGTATCTCAGAAACAAATTTTAGTTAGAAAAGTATGTGACAAAATATTCAAACTGAAAGGCTGAGCTGGACCCATGGATCACAGCCTGTGATCCTAGCTACACAGGAGGCTGAGATCTGAGAATCACAGTTCAAAGCCAGCCTGGACAAGAAAGTCTGTGAGATTCTTAATCTTCAATAAACTACTCAGAAAAGGCTGGAAGTGGAACTGTTGCTCAAGTGGTAGAGAGCTAGCCTTGAGCCAAAGAAGCTCAGGGACAGCACCCAAGCCCTTAGTTTTAGTCCCAGAGCACCAAAAAAAGAAAAGAAAGAAAGTCTCATGGTATTTCCCCTGGGGATGGCTTCAAATCCTGATCCAAAGATCTCAGCCTCCTGAGTAACTAAGATTACATCATCAGACACCTTTGCCTGGCCTTTTTCATGTTTCAATGTTTGGGTGGGTCCATAATCAAAGTGTTATCCTATCCTGGACATTCATTTACAGTTTTGCCATCACAATGACTCAAGTCCACATAAGTTTTATCCATGTTGCTTAGTGCTTGTAAGTATCATGCCCACTTTTGGTCTTCAGCTCTACCCAGACCTGAGCTCCTCCCAGCCTTAAAGTTCCCACCATACAGCTGGCCCCTCCCTCTCTCTGCACAGACCCTCCTGAGCTCCCACCTACCTTATTTCCTGCCCCCAGATCTTGCTGCTACCTAATAGAGGGTGCCATGTGCTCCCTCTCTGGGGGGAAATATGGCTCCTCTAATAAACCTTGTAATAATCTTTCTCCTGTGCCTGCCTGCCTCCATGTAGTCCCCTGGGATGGATCCTTTCAGTACTCTTCTGTGGGTAAATCCTAAAAGAACTTTAAGAGTGGGGGGGAGGGGGTGGCAGGGGCTCATGCCTGTAATCCTAGCTACTCAGGAGGCTGAGATCTGAGGATCACAGTTCAAAGCCAGCCTAGGCAGGAAAGTCCCTGAGACTCTTATTTCCAGTTAACCACTAGAAAACTGGAAGTGGTGCTGTGGCTCCAGAGGTAGAGCGCTGGCCTTGAGCTGAAGAGCGCAGGGATAGCACCAAGCCCAGAGTTCAAGCCCTATGACCAACTAAAAACAACAAAACAAAAACAAAAAAAAACTTTAGAGTTAAAAAATATTTAGCCAGGGCACTGGTGGTTCACACCCATAATCATAGCTGCTCAGAAAGTGAGAATCTAAGGGTCCCAGTTCCAAGCCAGCCCTGGGAGGAAAGTCCATGAGACTTTTATCTCCAATTATCCACCAAAACAAAAACCCAGAAGTGGAACTGTGGCTCAAGTGGTAGAGCTCTAGCCTTGAGAAAAAAAAAGCTCAAAGAAAGCACCCAGGCCATAAATTCAAATCCTAGGACTCTCCCCACACACACCCAAGACATTAAATGTTATCATTTCTGAAGCCAAAATTATATGTTCTTCTTTTCGGGCAGGTGGGCATTAACTACCAACCCCCCACTGTGGTCCCTGGGGGAGACCTGGCCAAGGTGCAGAGGGCTGTGTGCATGCTGAGCAACACCACCGCCATTGCCGAGGCCTGGGCCCGCCTGGACCATAAGTTCGACCTCATGTATGCCAAGCGAGCCTTTGTGCACTGGTACGTGGGCGAAGGCATGGAGGAAGGAGAGTTCTCTGAGGCCCGGGAGGACCTGGCAGCATTGGAGAAGGATTATGAAGAGGTGGGCGTGGATTCTGTGGAAGCAGAGGCTGAAGAAGGGGAAGAATATTGAGGGCCAAGGTGTGGCTGGCCACTAACCCTCTTAACTTCCCACTGTAATAGTACAGAATATATTTACTATTAAAATTTCTTTGTTGAGATAGTTGTCCTGTGTGCTCTACTTGCCTGGTTGTAGTTCATTTGTCTTGGAAAAGAGTTTTTTTCATAGGGAATTATATCTGTTCAGTTAAAGACTTCTAATCAACTGGATGTAGGAATTTGGAAAACTGCTTTACTTCAAACCTTAAGTCCTTCACCATACTTGGGCGTGCACAAAAGTGGCTCTTTTGTCACAGACTTGGGGTGTGACAGCCACTCATCTGGGTCTCATTACCGTGGGGGGTAAAAAAAAAAAAGAAGCTCACCGCTTTCCCTCACAAGCCGGGACGAGGGTTTTGTACTGGCTAGGCAAGCCATGCTTCCAAGCCTTGTTTGCTTCATTTTCCAAATACAGGGGCTCCAGCCTGCCTTACACTGCGATCCTCTCGCCCAACTCCCCCTCCTCCCTCGCTAGGATAAGGGGCGTGCAGCGCGACATCCCCCAACCCAGCCGCCCTCCGGTTGAGTAGGTTGTGGCCGGGTTCTTTGAAGATCCTGGGTTTTCTCGACTGTTCCTTCCGGTGGCCTTCCCAAGGCAGGCTTCCGGGTACGGCCCACACAGGACGGGTGTTTATGAAACGCCCCTCGGGCTAGAAAAAGACCCACGCGAGTGGCAGGACGCACATTTGAGCGAGTTGGCAACGGGCGGGAAGAGAACGTCACCGCCGCCGCCCAGGCCCCGCCTCCGGGGCCAGCGCCGCCCGCGCCGGAGTCTCTATGGTACCGACTTCCGCCGCGGTCCACACCTCGCGAGACTTCGGCGGCGCAGCAATGGCGAGACCGTGAGTGCCGCTGACGGGAGTGAAGAGGCCGGGTTGGGACAGGGTTGGGACGAGATCGGGTCGCCGGTGACCCTACGGGCCTAGACCCTTTGCAACGGAGTGGCGGCGGGGGGCGCGAAACCACTCCGCCAGCGACCTAGCTCCCACCCCTTCCCCAGATGCCGCGTCACTGCTCCGCCGCCGGCTGCTGCACACGGGATACGCGGGAGACGCGCAACCGCGGCATCTCCTTCCACAGGTCAGCGTGCGTGCGTGCTGGTGCGTGAGGGCGAACGTGCGCATGCGCCAGTGGAGTCCGCCGCTTTCGGTTGTGACTGCGCATGCGCCTGGCGCCCTGCTCAAGCCCGAGGAGGCTTGAATTTGCCCGTGGGAGGGTGAAAGGGGCGGTCCGGGTACGATGGAATCCGGCCTGAAAAAAAGCTGGGACGTGTAAGACTTAGACTTACTGACCTCTGACTCTTTCATGTTAGATGACGCTGAGCCAAGCAAGCTGCTTTCCTTCTCGAGACCTCAGTTGCGTGTCTGTGCCCGGGTGGGGGTTGCTTACCCGGCAGGGTCGCGGGAGTCTCCTGGCAACATGCCTTGGGAGATCGTGGACATCATCATGAGCCCAGGGCTGCCAGCAGCCTGGTGCTCAGGGTTTGTGGCTCTGCAGACTTCCCAAGAAGGACAACCCGAGACGCGGTTTGTGGCTGGCCAACTGTCAGCGACTGGACCCCAGCGGCCAAGGCTTGTGGGACCCCTCCTCTGAGTACATCTACTTCTGCTCCAAACACTTCGAGGAGACCTGCTTTGAGCTGGTGGGAATCAGGTGGGCCTTCTCGCCAGCCAACATTGGGGCAGAGTGTGAGGCAGCAGCATATTGATGGGGGCATTTGTGTTCTGTGGAGGTTCTTGAGCAGTTGACTTGAGGACGGGGTGGGAGGGAGCACAGGCAAACCTGAACCCCCCGCCTCCCCACACTTTGCCAGTGACACTAGAAAAACACAGCCTTTCTAGGGGTGTTTGATGTCCAGTCCTCCTAGGAAGCCCAAGAACTCTCTTTGGATGGTCAAACTCAGTGAGTGGTTTTCCAAAGCACCTCAACTAGTCCTATCTTGTTATAAGATTGGTAGAATTCTCCATAATTTGGCATTTCCCTAAACTTACTGTTTGTACATTCCGGCCTCTCATAGCCCTAATACTAAAAAAACCCATGCTGGGGTGTTAGTGGTATTTGGTCTCTTCTCCAACTCATCTAGGCTATTGTTCCCCACAGTGGTTATCACAGGCTGAAAGAGGGAGCAGTCCCTACCATATTTGAGTCTTTCACCAAGTTGCGCAGGACAAACAAAGCCAAAGGGCACTGTTACCCACCTGGTCCACCCGATGTCAGCCGTCTCCAGCGTTGCAGGAAGCGGTATGTGCTACATATGGGGGCTCACGGTGGGGGGAGGGGGGATGCAGCGCTCCCACCCCAAAACTAAAGGACTGGGCTTAGGGTATCTTGCTTGGCAGTCTTGCTGCACAGGATCTGGCAGTTCTTTAGCCTGTCAGTTTCTTTCTCTTCCAGCTGTTCTGAAGGCAGAGGGCCCACAACTCCCTTTTCTCCGCCTCCTCCTGCGGATGTCACCTGCTTTCCTGTGGAAGAGGCCTCAGCACCTGCCACTTTGCCTACCTCTCCAGCTGGGAGATTGGAGCCTGGCCTTAGCAGCCCCTTTTCAGACCTTCTGGGTCCCTTAGGTGCCCAGGCAGATGAAGCAGGATGTAGTGCCCAGCCCTCACCAGAGCGGCAGCCCTCTCCTCTGGAGCCACGGCCAGTCTCCCCTTCAGCCTACATGTTGCGCTTACCACCACCTGCCGGAGCGTACATCCAGAATGAGCACAGCTACCAGGTGGGCAGTGCCCTGCTCTGGAAGAGGAGGGCTGAAGCAGCCCTCGATGCCCTGGATAAGGCTCAACGCCAGCTACAGGCCTGCAAGCGGCGAGAGCAACGGCTACGTTTACGTCTAACTAAGCTGCAGCAAGAGCGGGCACGGGAGAAACGGGCACAAGCAGATGCCCGCCAGACTCTGAAGGAGCATGTGCATGACTTTGCTATGCAGCTAAGTAGCAGCATGGCCTAACAGAGGTGCCATCCACCGAGGCTTTGACCCTGCCTCACAATTGCATAGAAAGGGACTTGATCTAAACTTACTCAGCAGACCAGCCAGCCAGATACTATTAATAAAGTGGATTCTAGAAAGAAGCCCTATTGTCTGGCTTAGCTGAGAATACCAAACTTGTTCCCACATACACAGTAACACTGCCCTAGGAGAGCTCAGACCTATAATCCAAGCTTTTATATGTGGGTTTCTGAGAGCTTTGTTCTTAAGAGCGCACCTCTCAGTGCCACACAAATAGGTAACAGCCAGTCTTGTCCATGCAGTTCTATGACCCACAGCATTCTATGAAAGCACAGGATGGTATGAGACCAGTCACAGAACAGTCCAGCTGGGTACCAGTAACTCAGGCCTGTAACTAGTTACTCAGAAGGCCGAGATCTGAGGATCACAATTTGAAGCCAGCCAAGACAGGAAGGTAAGTCTTCTCAGACTTTTATCTCCAATTAACCACCAAAAACCACAAGTGGAGCTGTGGCTCAAGTGGTAGAACACCAGTTGAGCAGAAAAAGGCTAAGGGACAGTGGTTAAACACAAAAGTCTAGATGATATTTTTACAGAAGTCTTAACCATCTTTTTCTTTTTCTGGCAGTACTGGGATTGAACTCAGGGCCTTTCTCATGCTGGGAAAGCACTATTACTTGAACTACACCTTCAGCCCCTTCATTTGAGACAGTTTTACTACCTTTGCTCAGGCTAGCCTCAAACTCAAGTTCCTCCTGCCCCCCTGCCTTTTGAGTAGTTGGGATTTTGTCTATACCACCATGCCTAGCCATGACAGACTATCCACAGGCTCCATTTTCCTGGCAAGTCAGGCTAGCCCTGCATTGCTCACCACAGGGCCTGTCCCCATCAGCAAAAGGGTTGTGATGACAATCAGCTGAGCTGGTGCTGCTATAGTCCGTAGATGGCAAGGCCCCAAGAGAAATTTTATTTCTTGGAAGTGTGGGAAGAGGTGGATAGATCTTGGAGGCAGGCATATAGCTCCTGGCTTCTCATTTTTCTTCAACCCAGGAGAACCTAGAAGAGCTTGTGGTAGCTTTGACTATCCATAGGCATATAACTATGGATCCAGTCGAGTGCGTGTACCCACAGCTATTTCCTGCTGTTACATTTGCTTTTAAGGGCCTTAGTTATATAAAATAATTTATGTCTAGGAGAGAGAATCAAAGGACCAGTTACAGGGTTGGCAAGAAGCAGGGTTTACAGGTTTGGGCTGGTCTTTCTTTGAGGTTTTGATGAGGCTGTCCCAATAGATATGGCAAGAGCCATACTTGGTGAAGATGTGACATACTGGTTTGCCTGGCTATGCATTGACAGCCCCTCATCCTCCTAGGAACTGCCCCTTAACCACCTGCCTCAGCTCCTGCTCTACACTTCCTTCACCCTTACCAGGTCACTTATACATAGTCTGGCGGGCTTTATGGATCTGCCACGCTTGGGGCCCCACAGCAAGGGCTGCAGCTGTGGCACATTTGTATGGAGCATGGGCCAGAAAGGAAACAGGTTCTGAAGCCAGGGGAAGAGCTGAGAGGTTTCTTTCAAGGTGAGCTCCAGCTTCCAGGCAGACAGGACAAAGGCGTTTCTGCATTCTTTTCCCAGAAAGGCTAAACTTTTCTGCATGAGGACATATTCACATAGGACCCACTCTAGGGCAGTGGGAGGTTGCTATGGCCTATCCTCAGCAACCAGCCCAGGCAACAGGAGATAATCTTCCTTAGGACCCAACAGATGCAAAAGTGAGAAAGTGTTCCCACTCTGGGCTGGAGTGGGGGGAGGGATGAGGGAGGGACCGCTGGCCACTTCCCACAGCCATTCTCCCCTTTGTGACTGAGTGACCACATGTTGGTGGCAAGATGTTGACAACGTGGGTAAAGAATGAGGCAAGACTGGCCACACCCACAGCTAAGTGTCTGCCAAGCCATGGGTCTGCACAGCTTGATGGCCCAAGACCAGCAGTGGAGACTGCCAGGAGGCATGTGTTGGTAGCATTTAATGGAGGCATATCTATGACAATAAATACTTGGGGGAGGGGGGCATCTCTGCTGACTTCCTTCTGGAAACCAGACCCAGCTCAGCTTGGCTTCCCTGTGGACTGAGAATAAACCACAGGGCTCTTAACTCCAGACCTACCATCACTGGTGCCCATTTGTGAGCTCACTGCCAGAATTCCTTATAGGCTAAGGTGAGTTGTTTATCCTGGGCAGTAATTCTGGCAAGCTGCCTTCCTCCTTCCTAGAGAAAGGTCCTGATAACATGACCCAAAGCTGAATCCACGACACACAGACCATAGGAGCCAGGCTGAGCCTTCCAAAGCCCATGCCTGACCACAAGGCCATACCCCCAGCCTCGCTTCACTGCTGGATAGAATTCATTACAAAGCCCTGGCCTTCTACTCAGAAGAGGATAACAGCTGAAGGCAGGGGTCCTGTTTCACTATGAGACCTGTCTCATTCTCAATAAAATAAGCGGTCCCTCCTGTACCTTTTGGCTCTCTCAGGAAGCTCTGAGCACCCTGGAGGTTGGCCCTAAAGGTATGACCACTCTGCATGCACAGGTGTGGTCAGGACAGTCTGCAGTGCACCAAGCAGGCAGCTTATCATGCTCCATACTGGTGGGCGCTCAGATGTCTGCACCCAGCTCTGCACACTGCTTGTCAGAGATGTGGGAGGCCAGAGAGTCTATGATGTCCAGTAATAGCTGCTGGCTGAGGGACCGTAGTGTGGGCAGCTTGGAGACCTGCACAAATGACCAAAACAAGATGGAATTAGACTCATGTAAGGGTCAGGGCAGGCAGCTGAGTCTTGTTAGAGCCCAAGCTGCTCAGAGCTGGGGGCTGGCTCAGAAGCGAGTAGTGGCCTGTGCATAGGCAGCTCTGCTTTGGCTCAGCCCCTGGCCCACACCCACTGGGGCCTGACAAGGGAGAGCAACTCTGAGGACCAGAGTGGGACTGACCTTGGTGAACTGGTGCACAATAATGTGCAGACAGTGCCGCTTCATGTCCAGTGCCTGCGTCTTGTCAGCTGCCTCCAGGATCTGCAATGGCGAGAATCTAAAACACTACCCCAACTCACCTATCCTCAATGGGGAGGCGAGACCCAAGGGCACCAGGGGTGCTACCTGCAGCACGTTCTGCACAGTTACATTCATCTCCAGGTTCTGCTTACAATATGCCTGCAGCCGGTTGTTGTAGAAGCCGTAGTAATAGGGGGCTGCAAACAGGTAGCTATGGGTGGGTTAAGGAGCTGCCAGCCAAAAGAAGCCCATCCAACTACTACTTCCCATCATCCCCTGGGAGGGTACTGCCTGACCCCTACACTCAGCTACCCCAGTCCTCCAATCCAGGGAGCAAGCCAGAAACTCTGGCTTCTGGCTTGCTCTATAAATAACTTCTGAACCACTCAAAGGCTCAGAGAACCTAATCAAGATTTAAACAAAGCCAGGCACTGGTGGCTCACACCAGTAATCCTCGCTACTCAGGAGCCTGAGATCTAAAGATCAAGGTTTGAAGCCAGCCCAGGCAGAAAAGTCCCGTGAGACTTATCCCTAATTAACTACTCAAAAACCAGAATTGGCGCTGTGGCTCAAAGTGGGAGAGTGCTAGCGTTGAACAAAAGAGCTCAAGGACAGTGCCTAGGCCCTGAGTTCAAGCCTCAAGACTGACCAAAAAAAAAAAGATTTAAACAAAAACCCTCTGCTTCCTATATATACATTTACAGAGACACAATAGCCAGATGGGTACCCTTGCACCATGTTCAAACTCCACTGAAATGAAGGATGAGAAATGACTTGTCTGTTCTGGCACACAGAATAACTGACCCATTGTTCCATCCATCCTGGCTACAAACCCCTCCCGGCTAGCTGCTTTCAGGGCCCTTAGGAAACACTAGGCTCAGCACCAGGCACTGGAAAATCCTCCAAAGTGAGGCACTAGACCATAATCGCCTTGTAAAACAGGACAGCTGGATCCTGAAGGGCTCAGGTGGGCCATAATTTCCTCCCTGATGACCTAGGAGCACCCTCAGGGTATAAGGATGCAGTGAGTCCTCGGGTGGCATGTTGACCTCGCCATAGTAAATGTAGCGCAGCATGGACTCAAAGGCCTGCCTGCTGGGCACCATCTCCCCAATGGAGATGTTCACCTGCCCATCCTCGGGCATGAAGGACCGGAACATAGCCTCAAAGTAACTGCAAATAGGGTGAAACACATTCAAGTCTTAGGTGAGCAAAGCCAGCATCTTGACCCTACCCTCCTCCCCACCCTCCCTCACAGGCCCTCAACCCACCTAGAGCGAGCAGCTAGGATGGCCTTGTGGGCTGGCCTTGGGTGGCCATCTAGCAGCAGTGTGATGTCACAGAACTCTGCACCTGCTCCCTCCAGATATGCCTTCATGTCCTGGATTAGAGATGTGCCTAGGGGATGTGGAGAGACCTAAGCAAGTGGCCCTACTCTCCAACAGATCTTGAGTTATGGGGCTGATTTGTATTCCAGCCTGAAGTCACCATGGGCACCAATCTCTCCACACTGCCCATCTTGTTGCCCTGCACAAAGCTTCTCCAGGCCAGAATGTGCCACCCGCTTCCATTCTCTTCTTCCCTCAGCCTCTCAGGTTGACTAAAGCAGCCCCCAACATGGCCTTTAGACCTGCCACCTATAAATCTACAACATGGCCCTCTGTGCTCTCCTCCCATCTTCATGCTGGGCTTCCAGGCCATCAGTGTTCTGTGGCCACTCCAGGTGTCACCAAAAGCCAGTGGTCAGCACAGGCTCCAAGGGGAAGGAGGAAGGAATCTGTGGTTTACCTTCCAAATTGGGTAAGGAGAAATAAGAGGAGCAATCACACCTGACTCTCCAGCTAGAGCACTACCCAGGTCACCCCCAGAAATGGTTTGCTGGTAGTCTGCTCTGGAAAGCCTTGTGGGTTTGAGGGTTCTTCAAAGAAAACTGCAGTGCCCTTGTACCCAGAAACACTTGGGGCACAGTCACCCCCTGACCCATGGGCCTGACAGGTAGGTGCTCTTTATGGTTCCTTAGTTCCTACCCAAATGAACACCATCCCTCCCAAATTCCAGGACAGAAACAGGAGTTACTTACCGATGTCCACAGGCTGATCTGAAGGGGTGCGAGGGGGTGGCTGCTGCTTCCGCCGCACAATCTCCACAATCAGTGGGGATGAGAGGTGTTCAAACTCCTTCATCATGATCACCTGGTTGAAGTGGGACTCCTTCACCACGAAGTTCAGGCAGTGCTCCTGGGACAGACAGGCCCAAGCAGGCAAGCAGGATCAGGCCAGGGGACACAAGCTAGGCAGGGAGCTTGCAAATGGGGAGCAGGCTAAGGACTCGCTGTGAATACTTCTCCCTCCCTCCAAGGGGAGCCCAGGCCGGTGGGCACTCCAGCTGCACCTTGAGCTGTCCCAGCTGTAGCCTGGCGGCACTTTCACACACAACTAGCACATTCTGCAGGTCCACAGAGGCCTCAATATACTGGCGACACAGCTGCTCTAGGCGGCTTAGCTGGAAGCTCAGGGCCAGTTTGTACACGTCCATGATGAGCAGCACATCTTCCACATGGCCTACACACAAGAGTCCTTGAGAGGCCTGGAGCGGAGGGCCTGGGAATAGGGCCCAGAGCTTCCTCCTTAGATGAGTGTGGGACAGAGCTGCTAGTGGCAGCTGGGCCATTTTCCAGCTGCTGTGATCTGAGGTGATAATGGTGACAGAGCCTGTGCCTAGAGGGTCCCATCTATAAAGCAGGCCTAGGAGCACCTTGCCTCCCACTCTGCTGACCACTCCCACCCACAGCCCACTCAGACCTTTTCGTGGGTACTTGATCTTGTCAGTGTAGAGGAACTGCATGAGCACCTCAAAGGGCTGGGCCTCGGCCTCCCGGATGGCCACTCGTAGCAGGGGTGGACGTGCCCCCCCTATGGCTGCACCAGAGACCTCCTTGGGAGTCAAGGTCACCTCCTCCTCCAGCTTCTGAGGGGAAGAAGGAACTCAAGAATACCCAAGGACCAACAGATACAGCTATCCAGCCAAGGGGGATCAGGGAAGAACTCACCTGGGCCAGCCACTCTCGTGCCTGAACGATCTTCCTGCGAAGCCAGCGGCTTCGTGCAGTAACAATGGCCACATGGCCCTGCACACACTCCTCCTTCTAGAGGAAGGAAAATGTGTGGGTGAAGGGCACAGGACCCTGCCCCCAGGGGGGTACCACTGGAGGGCCAGTTTTGCCTCTGAGAACCCATGCTCCCACCCTGTAGGCATAGGAAGGGCACCCACCTCCCCCAGCACGAACTCCACGTCACAGAATTGCCGGCTCTCCCACAGCCGCCCATAGTCTTCATGCAGCGTGCACTTAGGGTAACAGGAGAACTGTGGAAGGAGACCCCAATGTTGCCTGTTGGTTGTCACCGACAACAGGGTCAGGAGACAAGGCAGGCCTTACTGGGGGGGAGAGGGAGCAGGACTGTCCCCTCTGTCCTGTGTGAGGAGGGGTTCCCACTACCACACTTGCCTTCAAGGGCCCAGGCTCTGGCAGGGCTACGCTGTCTCCACTCTGTACCTGGACCCAGGAACTCATACTGGCCCCGTCCCACATCCTATCTCTCCAGAGGACTGTCCCTGGCACCATTGTTTTCTGGGACCCCTGCCCTGACCACCTTCTCCTCTAAACCTAGTAAGGGGCTGCCAAGGGAAGCCTCTGCCATGTCCTCTGGGGCCGGGGGGGGGCGGTGCTTGAAGCCCCCACTTGGCCTGGCTCCCTCTACTGTTTCTGCTAAGAGCTCTCTGTGTGCCCCGACCCTGCTCTGAAGCTGAGACTACCCCAAGTGTCACCTCAGCCTGTCCTCAGTCTGGAGTCCCCCACCCCACTACAGACCTCTCAGAGAAGCTTCTGTCTTCCAGGTTAGGCCAGCAACAAGCACCATGGCACAAGTCCCACTTCCACCTTCCCACCCTCTAGGCCTCCTTCATTCCCTATCACTGGGGTCCGGCTACCCCAGCAGCCCCTATAGATCCATAAGCTGCACACCTGAAATCTGTACATCTCCCCACTCCGGATATTGTTGTCCACCGTCCCCCCAAAGATGTACATGGCATCAGAGATGACAGCAGCCGCATGGAAGAGCCTCCCACTGGGCAACTGGGGAGGACAACATAGAAGACAAAGGGTAAGGCAAGTGTCAGCAATGGGGCTGGCTGGAGCCAGGCTGTGAATGGGGACATGTCTCCACCTGGCGGCAAAGAGCCCAAGCCCTGGGGCAGATGGGCTATGAAGACCCCACAGTGAGCAGAATACCAGCCCAGGCTGCTGCTCTGGCCCCAGATAGCAAAGAATGGGATCCTAGGGCTCTGGTTTGTCCATCAGGACTTGGCCTCAAAGAGCTATGCCTGTTTCACCATGCAGACCACGCCCCCGCCATCAAGCATGTCTGGGCTTTGGACTGGATTTCCATTTGTGGGAAGTTGATCACATCCTTCTGCAGAGGTTGATGGAGCTTGTGCTAGGGTCCCCAAGCCTTACTTCTGATGCTGGCTGGGCAGGCTGCTTAGCTGAAGTAGTACCAAAATCCAAACCAAACACATCTCGGGACTTCTTGAAGCCACCTCGCTCCTCAGAGGTCAGGGTAGGAAGTTCCTCGGAAGCAGAAGCCCGCTCAGGTACCTCAGCCCCACCAACCTGGTGGCAAGAGAAAGGCAGGAGGTCAGGAGACAGTCAGCAAGGGTCATGAAGAGGAGCCACAGGCGGAGGGATGCAGGACAGCAACACAGGAGAGGATGAGGGAGATTATTACACACCAGGTTGTAGGAATGTAAAGGCAAGAGGACTGAGGGACAGAGCCTCAAGGGTTCTGGCTCTACTTTTCTAGGACTTTCTGGAGCCTGGGATGGAAGTCATCAGCTTCCAGTCAGTAGGTCAGGACCCCTACCCCATCCCTCCACCCTGCCAGGAACTCCTACCCCAACACCTGTAGCTTGGCAACACACACCTCACTGTCAGAGCTAGGCTGCACCACTTCCCAGGTCTGGAAGTCCACATCATAGCAATGCAACTCGTTAGGCAGTGTGTTGTCAGCTGCACCCCCAAACACATAGAGGTGGCGGTCAAAGGCTACCATAGTGTGACCATACCGCCGCTGTGGGGGTGGCGGGGAGCCCCGGAGCAGGTGCTCAGTAGGGATGCGTGTCCACCTAGGAGAACATGATAATGAATCAGTACTGGCATAAAGGCTCTGCTTCCTCCTGCATACTCCCTACTACAGGCCCCCCTCTGAAGTCTATCTGTGGTCTCTGTAGAGACCAGCCCAGGGTACAAAGGCCTGACGCTATACCCTTTGTCAGATGTGTGTGCCCAGAATCCCTTGCCTTATTTATTTAGCTCTGCAACCACCCCTTCCCAGCTTCATACAGCTCACTATGGCTCAGTGTCAGGAAGTGTGAGGCTTTGGAACACTTTGGAACTCTGGCCCAGGCTCTATCTTGCTGAACCATAGCTATACTCAGAGGGGCCTGCAGGGGGTGCCACATATCCCTACTCCAGGTTGAATGTTCCTGTTGTTTGTGGGAACTTGGAAAAACAAGACAAAAATGAATGCCAGACATAGATATGAGTATTAATCAAGCTCCACTCGAAATCAGGACACTCACGTCTTATCCTTGAATTCAAACTGGAAGAGGTTGTTGGTTATCTTGGCTCCACTCTGTCCTGAGAACACAAACATCTTGTCCCTGCACACCGCTACAGGGAAGTTGCAGCAAGATGGTGGAATCTCACCACTCTGGGCTACCTGGGGTAGGGGGTGTAGTTCAGCCAGGGCCTCACAGGACCTTGGCTCACACTTCCACGTTCTTTTTCTTAGCTTTTTCACTCTAGGCCTCAGTGCTGTCCCTGAACTTTTTTGCTCAAAGCCAGCACTCTTCCACTTGAGGCACAGCTGTGTTTCAGGCTTTTTGCTGATTAATTGGACATAATCTCATGGACTTTCCTGTCCTGGCTGGCCTCGAATGGAAATCCTCATATCTCAGTAGCTAGGACTATAGGTCTACAGGTGTGAGCCACTGGGGTGAGCCCAGCTGGGAACGGTATTGTTAAAACTTCTTTTGTAAATGAAGGTTCACAGACTCATATTTTGCTGAATGGCTAATAGTCCCACCTCAGCCACTTCATGGACCCACCTTAGAGCTGAAATCATCAGAGCCTAAAATCAACATTTTTCCAAGGGAAAGAAGGCAGTGAGCAGGACAATGGATGGCACGCTGCTCTTATTATGTTCGAATAGGAGTGAATGAATGCTGAGTGTTGGTGGCTCACACCTATAATCCTAGCTACCCAGAAGACTGAGATCTGAGGATCACAATTGAAAGCCAGCCCAGTCAAGAAAGTTTGTGAGACTCTTATCTCCAATTAAGCACCAAAAAGCCAGAAGTGGAGCTATGGCTCAAGTGGCAGAGTACTAATCTTGAGCAAAAAAGCTCAGGGATAGCACTGAGGCCTAGAGTTCAAGTCCCTGGACAGGCAGGCATACACACACATCTATACACATACACACACACACACACACACACACACACACACACACACACGAGTGGATTAGACCAAGATTACATCTGTTCATCACATTTGGCACTGTGCTTGTCCAGGGCTCAAAGAGCCCCCATCTTCCCACCCCAGTGCTGCTAGGGACATTGCACCCTGAACCCCAGAGCTGCTGTCTTTAGTCATCACCCAATTGCTGTTAGGGATGTAGGCTAGGAGGACATTAGGGAAGAAGGAAGGCTTCATTTTGGCAAAGGGAAGAAACAATCTCTGCCACACAGCACTTGGTTTCCAATGCCCCCTCATCCATGTCTATACTATGACTCCCTTACCTCCTCCCAACACGTGAGTTCACGGTCCTGGAGGCCAATTGTCCACATGTCGTTCAACCTACATCATGACAAACAGATTAAGATCCTTTAGGTTTGGCTGTCAGGTGGGTCTGGGCCTGGCCAGGAGGGATGTGGGTCAGGAGACTGCTGTGTAGCCATAAAGGAGGAACATCAATGGGAAGAGAGGCACTTCATGAGAGCCATGCCATCCCAGATCCTCTGCACATCCTGGACAGAATGAAACAAGGCTAGCCCCTACTCAGTTGTCCTCTCAGGGTAGGGAGACATGAATGGACAGCACAACTGAATCTGCTACGTTTGAAATCAGAAATAAATACTCCAGTAAAATGAACTTTTGAAATAAGGAAGAAAATATCTCTAACAAAGCAGAAATCTAGGGCTGCGGCTAAAACCCACTGCTGCTGTCTCTCCAACTTGCTGGACTTTCTGAGTTCCTCCTCCCTAAGGTCTGGAGTATCCTCATCCCTGTGGGTCCTCACTCAAGAGAACCTACGGTTGGCTAGGGCTCCACTCACTAGACTCACAGTTATTTGCCCTAAAATCTCTTCCTTCTATAACCTTTCCTGAGAAACCCCAAAATGATGCTCAAAATTGATAAGCCAACCTTCCCAGTTGGAGCCCTTGAATGCCAAGGAGATTGGCTCTGCCCAACAGTACATTCAGAGATGGGTAAATAGGTCAAGTCACTGCCTACCTGGCATTGCCATCATAGCCAGCGAAGACCCACAGCTTGTCACTGTACACAGTGGCCCCATGGGCTGATCTGGCAACAGGCAACCTGCAGCACAAAGGAGAAAGTAAGAAAGGATGTTTGCAGGAGGGGCCACATGGGCACAGAGCCCCATGTGGTAGCTTAGAGGCCACAAATAAGCAGGTGGAACCACATCCACCTGACTGCTGGGGAAACAAGCAATAGCACCAAATATTGGTTTCATGAAGTCTGAGGAGCAGCTGAATAAAATATGCAGATGTAGCTGGACACTCAGTAGCTCACACCTGAAACCCTAGCTACTCATGAGATTGACATCTGAGGATCATGGTTCAAAAACAGCCTGGGCAGGAAAGTCTGTGACACTTTTTTGTGTATACCAGTCCTGGAGCTTGAACTCAAGGCCTGGACACTATCCCTGAGCATTTTTTGCTCAAAGCTAATGCTTTACCACCTCAGCCGCAGTTCCACTTAAAACTTGTTGGGAGTTTATTGGAGATAAGAGTCTTACAGACTTTTATGTCCAAGCTGGCTTCAAGCCACAATCCTCAGATCTCAGCCTCCTGAGTAGCTAGGATTACAGGTATGAACCACCAACACTCAACTTAATTCTGTGAGAATCTTACCTGCAACTAACCACAATAAATAAATAAAATAAAATAAACCTGGAAGTGGTGTTATACTCAAGTGGTAGAGTGCTAGTCTTGAGCAAAAAACAAAACAAAAGCTAAAGCTTTGAGTTCAAGCCCCATTACCAGCACAAGAATAAATAAATTAAATTAAATTAATCATATGTAGGACTGGGATGTGACTCAATAGTAGAGCCCTACCTAGCATGTGAGGAACTGAGCTGAATCCCCAGCATTGGTGGAAAAAAAAAAGAAGATGCCCATGCAGACACAACATCTATTCCCATCTGGGTCTCTTCTGAAAGAAGAGGATCTACAGAGTGCAGAGAACATAAGTGGGTAGTGAGAACTAGTGTTTATCACTCTTTCCTGTCTGCTGAGTGCTCTTGTGTGTCTCCCAGCTTCAGGCTGTTAAGTACGACAACAAAGTCTCTTACCGCCCTTCAATTTTCCACTCTGTCCACTGACCAGTTGCAAATTTGTATTCAAAGAGGTCATTTTTATTCTTCAAGTTAGAATTGGAATAAATGTCTCCAGTGTAGCCTCCTAGGTAGAGAGAGAGAGCAAGAGTCACATCCCAAACACTGCCAAAGTCTTCAAATACCAGGACCTGGGGCCACAGAAAACTCACAAACTGAGACTCCATGCACAAATCTGTTGGGCACAACTGCCTACCTGCAGCCCTGCCTATGCTGGACTCTGGAGACACAGAGTTGAGCAGGATACCATGTCCTGCCCTAGCCACCACAACCCTGGGAGCTCGGGACCAGTGAGGAAAAGGACCTCCCACCCAGCACAGGAATTCAGTGGACTGAGCAGAGGGGACAGAGAACACGTGCCAGACATAGAACATGAAGATACCATGTTGGGAGGGGTTGGCAGGAAGACAGCGTATCTGCAGGCCCAGGAAAGGCAAAAGGCTACTCACCAAAGACAAACATACTGCTCCCATAGACAACAGCTGAGTGGTGATAGCGGGGGGCTGGTGGGGTACCAGTTGTAAAGGCTCTAGAGTAGTTACAAGGGCCAAGTCAGCAGAGGTTAGCTAGACGGTCCATGCCCCACCCCCCAAGGGATGCCCCTTCTCTCCCCTTTTGGCTTTCTGGCTTCCATTTATTTGTTTGTTTATTGTTGGTCATGGAGCATGAACTCAGGGTATGGGTGCTGTCCCTGAGCTTTTTTTCTCAAAGCTAGTGCTCTCACACTTTGAGCCACAGCTCCACTTCTGGTTTTCTGGTGGTTAACTGGCGATAAGAATCTCAAGGACTTTCCTGCCTGGGCTGTCTTTGAGCCAGGATCCTCAGATCTCAGCCTTCTGGGTAGCTAGGATTACAGGCATTAGCCACCAGCTCCTGGCTCTTTTATTTATTTTCACTCTTTGAAACAGGGTTTTACTATGGTGCCCAGCCTGGTCACACAAACTTGTGGGCTTAAGTCATCCTCCAATCTCATCCTCCCAAGTCACTGGGGCTACAGAATGCACAACAGGATACTTTTATGTTTTCAAAGGTGATAGTTTCCATTATAAAAACTTCTGAAATATCACTATGAAAAGAATCAAAGTGCCGGGCGCTGGTGGCTCACGCCTGTAATCCTAGCTACTCAGGAGGCTGAGATCTGAGGATCGCGGTTCAAAGCCAGCCCGGGCAGGAGAGA